TATATATATATATACATACTATGAGTTTTCACTTACAATTAGTATGACCTAGTTAATGCTGTGTCCATTGGCGTATGTCGAATTGAACAGGATGAAAAGTCAAGGATACGAAGGACCAAGTAGAAGGATGAAGCATCATGTGAATTAGATGATTAATTGGATGAAGAAATTGTGCCTAACGCGCGTAACGGTATACGTTAATTCGCCGATTCATCGTTTCTCTTTTTCGATGACATGATTATGTTAGTGCGTAAAGGGAAACGTTTGTTCGATCTTTCATTGAAAAGTGGAACGTACATTGTCACCTTGATTTAATAGCTGAACCGAAGAATCACAAGTTTAATGCCAGTAGTATAACTGTGTGTCCAATACTTGAGAAATGCAGTTATATCCAATCGTACATATGTGACGATGATAATTTTGTATCGTAGTAACTTTAAACTGTCTCGATCGATATCTGGAAAAGTTTTTTTATGAAACATTTTCAACAGGTATTACATTCAGAGATACATCTCTTCTGCTAAATCTCGAAATTGGGTATTAAATTGGTTATTACTAAAATCTCAAATAATTACAGACAGTCTAGGAAAAAAAAAAAATCAGATAGCGCAACGGATTCCTAAAAATTACCTCGCCGCCTCGGTTTAAGGAAACGATTTTATAGTATCGTAAATGGAAGAGAATAATCTATGGGCATGTAGCCCCGTGCCAATAACACACTTTATATTTTATTGCGCTTCCTGCTTATCAAATATATCAATGACCGCGTGTAAACGTCATTCAAAGCGCTTTCTATTGTACATCCGCGACATATTGTAATATTTCGACTTTGGCACGTGTGTATCTTGCGTTTTCAACGGCTCGTTCCGAAGTAGGTTCATTCCTTTCATTTTCAATCTTATTCTTACGCCTCCATGAACCTGAGTGACGACGAGAAATTAGATCCAAGGAACAAAAGCGGGATCATCGAACCGCGTCGGCTGGCAGTTAATGCGTAAGTATAAGCGGTGCCGCCTACGCGCAAGAGGGCCAACGGAATAACGATATGAACAAAATGCTGTTAAACCGGTCGAAATAATTCGGCGGGATATTAACGCGCGAACGGACGAAGGATAATTAAGAGGAAAAAGAAGAGAACCCTCGGGAAAGCACTTCGCTCACGGCAAAACTGCGATGGAATCGCTTGGATGTGTCGCTGGTGGGAGATAAATCCGGGGGGGAGCACTCGACAGATCATGAAGCGCATGGAATTCTGCTCTCTACTCTCGCCCTCCCGGGTGGTTGGTTGTAAGTGTACAAGCAACCGTTCTCAAATCAATGTCTGAGTATGAAAATAGTCGCGAAATGGTGGCGGTAAATACTGATGCTAACCGAGTGGGGAGAATATCGCTCGGTACGGAGGTATACCTGGCCAGATATATAGAGCTAGGGCAGGGCTTCCGTTACGTACAGTCTACTTAGAGTGCTCTCAGGTATACACGCACCTCGTATATACGCTCTCAGGTATATACGCATCGTGGTATTAACCAAATTAACCAAAAGTCGGTTTACCCGCGTGGATGCAATCGGAATAGCTAAGACAGAAGCAAAGGACAAATTTGATTTTCGTATCGAGCCACGTGGAAGGTACAGTGCTTGATCGACTTGCGTGGCTTCATTCGAACTCTTTGAACAATCGTATTAAGTGTTGAAGTTTTATAGACCTGTGATATGTACAAGAAATACACACACACACACACGTACAATTTTATATAAAAATATCTTCTGAATTGATTTAGTTAGATAACGCAAAAGTGATTCACAAGAATATCACGATATATTCTTGAATAGAAATTATGCTATGAGATGATATTTTATAGGGCATAAACATTTTTTATAAATTTAGAAGCTGACTTTTTCTACGTTTAATAAATTTGTAATCAATTATAACTTAACAATATAATTAATTGTAGTATAAATAACAATTTTTTTACAATCTAAAATTTAAAACTATAAAAAAATTATTTGTGCTTAAATACACGTATTACATATACGAAAATAAGTAATTGCCTTATCCTTTAATAACTGATTTATTTATTAGTTGGCTTACGCTATCAACATGTTAGATCAACAGATAATTGTCTTGATTATTAAAGTATAGAACTGAATTATTGTGATATATTTATCATTTAGTGAATGTCAAATTAATATTTCTTCGCAGATATTCACTTGGCAAAATGAAACAGTTTGCCCACTATTATGTATGTCTGGCTGTATTAACAGCGGTCTCTGCGAGATCAGCTGAAACTAATCCTATATCTAATTCCATCAACGAGCAACAAACCGCAAGATCGAATAGTAATGGCCTATTTAGCGACTTACGCTCTGTCTACCAAGTATATAAGGAATGTTCTGGCGCGGAACTAAGTCCTTGTCTAAAGCTGAAACTCTTGTCGGCTATAGATAGGGTTTCTCGAACTGCACAATTGAATGTAGCTGATGGCGTCACGCTAGTTCAAGATGAATCAGCTACTAACGAATCTGAACCAGAAAAGTCTATACAGGAAATTGAAGCTAGTTTACCCCGAGCGTTGGAAGACAAAGAGGACGCTCTTAATAGCATGATTTTCGACAAAATCGCCAAATTCTTTCAAAGTCACACTCTAAAGCTAAAGTTACCAAATGTAGAAGAATTTCAACGTAGTCTCACGGAAGAAGGTAGGAAGATGTTGCTGTTAACAAAGTTATTCCAATAACGTGATAAATAATAAAATAAAATATCTTTGTATAATTGAAATAAATATGTCTATATAAAATATAGATACAATTTAAATTTAAACAGCTTATACATTTTTATTATAATGAGATTAATTTAAATAATTATTTGTTATAATCTTATTATTTTATTGTTAAATATATGTAGAATTTTTTTCATTAAATCGTAATTATATCATCTTTTCTAGGTCGTAAGAAGAAAGGTAAAATGGGTGGTCTTCTTGCTATTCCTCTATTAATTGGTGGTACATTAGTGCCCCTGGCGCTCGGCGCTCTCGCGCTGTTAGCCGGCAAAGCATTGATAGTGAGCAAACTTGCTCTCGTACTCGCTTCTATCATTGGATTGAAGAAACTCGTATCTGGCAGCCACGATCACGGACATGAAGTCGTTCAAGTTGGGGGAGGACATGGATCGGGCGGATGGGCGAGATCGGGACATGATATCGCCTATTCCGCATACAAACCATCGTCAATCTAGGAAAAAAATTACAAACGTTATCATAGCATCTTTTTAATCATGTCGTCATTTCCTCTTGCAAACTTTTCTTCTTTCTTTTCGTGCAATTTTTATTTATTTCTATCTTGCGGATA